TCTGTTTGGAGCATCAGAGGAAAATCAATTTGCATGGAATTCAAATAGAAATCTTTCAAAAAAATAAAATAAATGTTTCTTAATATATAGCCCTTTACTAATTCACAAAATATGAGTGTCAACTCTGTGCCAGCCACTGTGCTCTGGAATATCATACAAAAGGCCTTTGTTACCATGATTAGTCTTGAGTTTGATACAGACATTCAGAATGAAGTAACAGCACTAATATTAGGAAAAGTGCTATGTGCTAAAAGTGCTGATAATGGGTTAATGAAAGTGAATGGATTCCGTTGGCATAATATGAATATAATAAGGAAGAATAAATACTGATTCAAGAAATGGATTAAAAATGAATGAGAAAGTAGTTCATTTACTTAAAAGTTTAAGTAAATTACTTTTTAAAAAGTAATATGCAATGTTGTGCAAGATTATCCCAGCACATTAGTTACTTCCTGTTTCTCTTACTCACTTTGGCAGCTACATTAAATCAGGTCACAATGGAACCGTTCTGCACACAGAAGGAGTAACTTACCAAAAAGTCCTTTAGAAGGCAGCAGTGGTGAATGCAGCTGCCAAAAGTGCTTGATGGAACCTGCGATTAGAATCCACACTGGAAGAAACTGGCTCAATGTGTCATACAAATATGAAACGCCTGCAATTGCATGTTTCTAAATTGAAACTCTGGCATATGTTGGAGAATTTTTCTGATGCCAAGAAACCAAATGAAACAAAAAGTCAAGAAACTCTCAGGTTGGAAACTCAAGTACAGTATTACTAGGTTGCATGTTTTCCCCTTAAATATTTGGCTATGTCATAGCTCTTGACCTGACACAGAATGTTGTGGTTACTTTCGCAATAATGTATTTATGTGATCCATTTATAATTTAGACTGGATTTTACTTACTTTTATCCTGAGACAGATTAAGAAATTGAGTGTTTGTTATGGGTCAGACTGATTCGGAAATTTAACTTTGCAGAACACTGGAATCCCTTATCTTGCAGAAAATCAGTAACTGAAAATTGGGAAGGGTAAGTTGAAAAGCCACAAGATAAAAAGTGTAAGGAGAAGCACTCATTTCCTTCTGCAAAAGTGAAGCATCATTTCCTTGCAGCCTTTATTCAAAGTCAGTAGTAAGTATTTTCCACAGTATAATCAGTTTATCTTTTTAAAGCAAGGGGGTGCCATGACTTACATATTCTACTTCTCTCATCTATTATGAATTATTCTCAGAATTAAGTTTAGTAGAACCACAATACAGGGTGCAAAAAAAGTCCAAGCAAATATTCATTAATGAAAGGGTAAAAAATATTGGAATTATTTGCCATGACTGGAAAATGCAGAGTTATGTAGTAGTTGGAAGATTTTCTTATCGATAGAGACTCCCTGCAGGAAATAACATCCTCTTTCACATCTTTTACTGTTTGAAGATGTGATGGTTAGAAAAATCTCTATTTATAATCGATCACTGTTCCATATTCTACATGCGTGCTTATAAAACCCTGCAAAACTTCTGATAAAGTTTACCAGCAACTAAATAAGTTCAAACTCTGACCTGTTATCTTCTCACAAATCTTGTTCTCCCACCTCTTTTTCTCATCTGTAAAAGGCACTGTCATCTTCCTATTAATATGGAATAAAATCTAGAGATCTTTGGCTCATCCTTTTTCTTCATCTCCTATCTCTTCATCATCTCACTTTACAATACACACACACATCTGATCAGTCACCAAGTTCATCGGTTTTCTTTCCAAAAGAGCCCTTACCTTCAGGTTAGCTTTTATATTTGTAACAATCTTGTAGGTAGTCCATATTACATGTATAGAATTCTACTTTTCTGTCCATCAGTTTTCTAACAAACTCTTCCAAAGTTTGTCCCCAACTTGACTTTCCAATGTGTTTGTTCACTACTCTGCCCCAGTGAGAGGGAACTGGTTGCTTTTCCAAGTTATACTGAAATCTCTTATTTCTCTAGCCATTTCCTGCCTTTTTCTCAGCTCAGGAATTACTTTTCTTCTGCCTTTTGAAATCTTGCACACATCTATATAATTTTTGAAAGGTTACACAATACATTGCAAGTTATATGGCATTTTTAAAACTAGTTAATTATTTTCAAACATATATTATTGAGAAGCATTATTTTACTTTCAAAGATATCTTATGTGAAACCATATACATATATGTATACAAACACACATATATATGTGTAAGTGCAATATACATATACATATAATATTATTAGAATTGATTTGCTAACTTTGTATTGATAGCATTTACTTTTATAAAGTCGATCAATGAGATGAGAAGACTGATAACTAAATTTGAAATTGATGATTATGAATCACATATAATCTGATATTGGTTTTTTATTCATAATTTTTGTTTCTATTAAATAGCATTTAGAAATTATTGCTTTTTATATGTGTAGTTAAATTATAAATTTTTATGATTCATTTCACAATTTCAGACAAATTTGTCAATAAACAGGGATGGTGGAAAAATGTATCCTAATATCTGTATAGAAATAAGAGGAACATTTTATTTTAGAATAGATTCAGATTTATGGAAAAGTTATGGAGATAGTGCCCTTTCCTTATATCCCACAACCAAGTTTCCTCCTATTATTAACATCTCATATTGGCAAAGTGCGTATGTTATAATTGATAAACAAATACTGATACACTTTTATTAACTAAAGTCCATACTTTGTTTAGATTTTCTGGGATTTTATCTTCTGTGCATTTTTTTAATTTTTAAAAGAGTTAAAATACATTTGAAGAATGAAATTTAGATAAAATAGCGGGATTATCAAACTACTCCGTGGATTCTGTCGCTTCTGTGAAATACAGCAAAAACCATGCTCTTTCTGTTTTAGTCTCATCTGTTTACTGTCTGTCACCCTAAGCCACCCTTCCTTTTTCAAACTGTTTCTCAACTGAGAATTACTTTATTTTTAGTTCCCTAAATAAATTGCATTGGTTAATGCCCCATGCCTATGTTGGCTGTCCACTTGGATGGCCTCTCTCCTTGTCCAGCTAGTGAATTTTGATTAAACTGCTAAAATCTAGAGTAAGAACCATCTATTCTGTGGCTCCAATTCTAAAGATACTAATAATCAGCACAGACTGCTTTTAATATCAGCCATTTTTGTCAAACTAAATACTCACATTTCTATTGTATTTTGATTTGTATTTTGTTTGATTTCCCATTTGACTAAATTTAATACAATTTCCTTTTCTTTTATATAGACATGACATACAGAATTTGAGAAACTTACTCATTTAACCAAAAGGGAATTCTGTAAAATTTGATAGAGTAAGGTCTTTCTTGAAGTGCATGCACGTGTATGTGTGTGTGTGTGTGTACTAATGAGTATAAGATCTTTCCTTCTTTTTTTTTTGTTTGCCTGGAGTCAAGACAGTAGAAATGAGCTGAATTTAACCATTGCAACCAAAAGATGTTTTTAGCTGATTATTTTAAGCTTTATAATTTAATATTATAATAAGCTTTGCAATTAAAAATAATTAGATTTTGGGGGGATTGATTAAAAGAATCCTAGTAACATAATTTTTTGTGAATTCAATATAATTCAATATAATTTAATTAGCACTTTGATCAAGAGCAATGATAATAATGTCCAAGTGGATCAGTGCTGACTTTTGTTATCATGTTGAACCCTCTTGATTCAAATTACTGCTATTTTACAGCTCTTTAATATTTCCACCAGCAGAGAAAAGAGAGAGAGCAGCAGATTTAATTTTTTCCATTCAGTTTTGACTATTTGTAAAACAGAATGATTACAGAATGCCAGGGGAAAATTTTCTGTAGGACTAATTACCCTTGCTGAATCTTTCTTCTCTCTGTATGGGTTGTGAGAGTATGATAAAATTATTATGTACCAATTTATTAGGTTCAATAAATAAATACAGCCTATATCTTTCTTTTAATTGAAATTTCACCCTATAAGTGATTTTACCCAGTTGGGAATAAACTGGAAAATAGAAAAAGATTATGAAATTTATGGTTGATAATTATTATTTTTCATAATAGAAGTAACAATTTACATTTGTGTAGTGTCAGTTATTGGTTTCTTATTCATCATCTCATTTAATCCTGAGAGAAATCCATTCCTATTGGAGCTAAAGACATTGTTATCTCCATTTACAGTTGAAGAAGCTGAAAGTCAGAGAAATTAGGAAGTTTAACTAAGATTATACAGCCATAGAACTCAAATCTCAAAGGAACAGTGGGCTAACCTTTTCCTAGAAACAAATTTGGTTATATTATTTGAGCACTTAATATTTATCAGGTGATGTGCTGGGTTTGAGCATCCACAGATGAAAAGACATTTGCTTCCTTATAATAAACCATCAAATTAAAAAAAAAAAAAAGAGTAACAATCTAGGCAGTTTGTCCTCTGACTCATGCTTTATCAGTGTTGAATAGTCAAACAAGGACTCAATATTTGTCCGCACCTTCCACCTCACCTACAAAGCTCCATCTTAAATACCCATCTGATTTCTCAACTCTTCTACAAAATTCTGCTTTAAAAATAGAGGATTGAGATGAAGAGTGAAATATTTACAAAATTTGAAAAAAAAAAAAGTATTTTCATGAGGGTTACCTGAATTTCCAATAAAATAACTACTTTAAATTTTAGATCACTTAACAATAAAAATAAGATGGGTAATCAGGTATTTAAAAACCAAGGATCTCATTAAAAGAAATCAATAAATTAAAAAATTTGAAACTATTAATCACAGCACAAAGAGGTAATATTTCAGCCACAGCAAGTATTTTTTAGTAAAATCAGAATATTTAAAAAACATTTTCCATTTGTTGACTATTCTATTATTTAGTTATTTCCCTTGATCAGAAACTCAGATTGCTGTAAATTATCAATCAGACTGCATTTTTATGACAGCCTGTTTTATATAGTTACATGCATATTTTGCGTAATTTTCCATTAAGACGTAAAGCATTTGGGAAAAACACCACTAACCTTTATGGGAAAGCAGTTTGTCAAATGATTCACCCCATATCACTGCTTCTTCAGGGGAGACTCTGTTCAAGAGACAGAATGTTTGTAATGGAGTATGCAAAAAGACAGTTTCTGGATGTGCTCTAACATACTCTTTAATACTGCTCTTTTCAGTCATAGGTTTCTTCTTTTATTATTATGTAATGAAAGTTGTATTTACATTGGAAACTTCAAAAATATTGGTCAAACTTTTTATTGATTTTGCCTATCAAACAATATGTTAAAATAACATTAAATATTTTCTCATGAGTGTATAAATTATTTTATTTAAAATTAATCATGTGTTAAGAACAAAGAAAAAGAAATCAGGTCAATTATCTTTTTTTTTTCTTGAGAAAACAATTTATTCATCTCTGCATATCCAGTTTAATTCAGCAAATAGAAGAACCTAAACTGACAGTAACTTTTAGCCAAACTTTTTTTTAACGGCAATTTCCTTGAAGCTCTTACCACAATACACAGCAATTTTTTTTAAAACAGATACAGGAAGTTTGGCTAATGAGGTTCTAAAGGGATAAGAAATATATTTAAAAAGTTGCAATACAACAAATATTTTACAGTTATAATTTACAAGGTTGAATATATTTGCCTTGGACCTTTTATTGGTCATATTTCATTTTGGACAAATCTGTATTATACTAGTATATAAGGCCACTTCATTTTCTCTTTGAATTAAAGAAATGGCTAAAAATGACAAAACATCCCTTTTCATGCTTTTTCCTTTTATACCTACAGGCATTTTTTTCAAACTACTAAGGGAAGAGATGAATAGCTCTCCTCTATGACAATATTACATTGTGAAAGTCTTAAATTAATGAGTATTTCATCAGTTTATAAGGAGTAAAATACATCATTTAAAATTGATAGGTATATAATTTTAAAAGAGCACCTTTAAATTTTTATAAGGTTATTTAATTCAAGCTATTAAAGTGGTTTAATTTTATGGAATATTCCTAGTTTTTTGAAATGAGATCTTTAACCTTCCTTATATTACTGTGTAATTTCCAATAAAATGGAAATTCCTAATTTCCTCTTTTTTAAAACTTTAATGAAAGAATCAGCAAAATCTTCCCTCAAATAATTAAAAGTTATTCACCTTGTTTCTTTGGCCAAGTGCCCAGATCTATTGGAGTGGGTTTCTTCATGAAACTCAGGTTTCTGCACGAGAAGACTTAACCTATTTCTTTTTTCCTTAGCTCTGAAAATGAAAAGGCATTAGCTTCAGGACAATTTGGATGACAATTAAAATCTTTCCTTCTGACTGTCAAACAAATTTGGGATTGGTCATCACCTGAACATCCCTTCTCACCCACCATCCACCCCCCCACACTCACAATGGTTTTCCTAGTGAATTTCATTCAACTTGGGGAGGAATTAAGATAGCATATGTGAAATATATTTTGTTTTTTCCCTCAGTGATTTTAATGTATTTGAGATTATATTTCAATTAAGATTGTCACTAGTTGTTCTGTGTGTTTAAAATTGTTGCACTTTTTCAAAAATAAAAACACTGTAGCGGCGCCTGAGTGGCTCAGTTGGTTAAGCATCTGCCTTGGGCTCAGGTCATGATCTCAGTGTCGTAGGATCGAGCCCTGCATCAGGCTCTCTGCTCAGGGCGGGGGGGGTCTACTTCTCCCTCTGTCCCTCCTTCTGCCCCTCTTCCTGCTTGAGCTCTCTCTCTCTCCCTCAAATAAATACAATCTTAAAAAAATAAATAAAAACACTTGAGTTTGAACAGGTATTTACTCCTAATAAACAAAGAGCCATTTTTCCCCAATTGTAACACTACATTCAATATAGTTTCAACCAGATATTTTAAAAAAAATAAATATTCAACATCAATCATGTTTTTAAAAGTATAAAACCAATTTTAAAAGTCATGATTTTACCTGATTTTGGCTTCTTTGCTTGTTTCTTCTTTTCCTGAACCATGTATTAACTTGAAAAAAGTTTTTTCTTTTGATTCGCACATATTTAATTTAGGAAAGAAAATCAATGATGTTTCCATCTTCTCTCTCTCTAAAATGAAGAGATGTCTAATTTGTTACATCTTTCACCTGTTAATGCTATTTCATAGTTATACATGGTACAATAAAAAGTTATCTTAACTCTGTCGGCAGTGCTTAAAAAAATAAAGTAAAAATAGAGTCAAGAGCTGTGTTTCTGTCTCCACAAAAAGTAGAACTGAGGAACCGAAGTACAGTTTGGTCCTGAGTTGTTTAGGGAAATGATACTACAAATTTGCAAAAAACTCTTGGTCTCTAAGATAAGACGAGTATTACCACAGTGCAACTTCTCTTTCTAGTTTGTGCAACCAGAATGATGCTTTAATAGACCCAAATGACACTGTCATTTCCCACAGGAACTTTTTAAAAAGTTTTCTTTTTCTTAAAGATTTTATTTATTTATTTGATAGAGAGACACAAGAGAGAGCAAGTATGAGCAGGGGGAGGGGCAAAGGGAGAGGGAGAAGCAGACTCCCCGCTGAGCAGGGAGCTGGACACACGGCTTTATCCCAGGACCCTGGGATCATGACCTGAGGCAAAGACAGATGCTTTACTGACTGAGCCACCCAGGTGCCCCAAAAAAGTTTTTAAATGTGTACAATATGTATTAAAATATGTTATGGTGAAGTACTACATTGAATGCTAGGAGATATTTTCCATTGTTCTTAACTTTTTTTTTACTTATTTTAATTACATTGAATTAAGTAAGTTACATTTAATTGATATAATGCTATGTAATGTAAATTATATTTGCTTAACATATTGTATCAAAGTAAGAATATAGAGGGAGTTTTACAGCTGAAAGAGACAATAGAAAGCATTTCATTCAATACTTTTTCAGCACAGATTCATAGAATGATTTTGGACATTTAAGAAATTTTTATCAGTCCATGGTGAAAATGGGGAAAAAAGATAATATGTAAATTTTTTCTTTTTTTTTTTTAAGATTTATTTATTTGAGAGGGAGAGTGCATGTGAGCTGGGGGTGGGGGGGCAGAAGGAGAGGGACAGAGAGAATCCTGACTCCTTCAGACCCATCCTGGGGCTCCATCTCAGGACCCTGAGATTATGACCTGAGCTGAAATCAAGAGTCAGACCCAACCGACTGAGCCACCCAGGTGCCTTGTAAATTTTTTTCTTAAACTACATATACATTAATATGAAGGAAGTCCTTATTTTGAATTTGCCTTTCTATTTTTTTAAATAGAAATATTGTTAAAATGTTCTTTTTGAGGAAAGATTTTAACTAGAGACAGCAGTTTGTATGTTTGTTATTTTATGTTCTTATTAAAAAAAGAAATGGCAATTCGAATTTGGTTCAACCTCTGCTTCTTTTACTGTTTCTTGACAACTCTAATATCTAAGAAATATTGATGTAGTCCATAACTCACATTTTGTAGAAAAGGAAACCAAGAATGATAGATATTAAGTGGTTTATTCTTGCAAATTCTGGGAGGCCAGTGGAATAGAAGATCTGGAATTATCAGAGCCTTTGATAACCAGGAGCATGTCATTTAGTTTTTCTAAAAGAGCCTTTGATCTGCAGGAGTGAATATTTTAATTCCTCTAAAATTGTATATATTGAAAAACAAGTTAACAAATGTAAAGGAAACCTGTTTTATTTTTAGCTTGCTCCAGTTATTGATTTCAAGAAAATAGTTGTCAGGGATACCACCTAGGAGCTCAAAACATTTGCAGAATTGAAATCAAAGAACATTTATTTATTTATATATATATTTTAAAGATTTTATTCAATGACTTGACAGAGACATACACAGTGAGAGAGGGAACACAAGCAGGAAGAGTTGGGGAGGGAGAAGCAGGTTTCCTGCTGAGCAGGGAGCCTGATGTGGGGCTGGATCCCAGGACCCTGGGACCATGACCTGAGCTGAAGGCAGATGCTCAACGAATGAGCCACCCAGGCACCCCTAAAGAATATTTAGTATATATTTATACACACTCCCTCCTGATTCTATAACTTTGACTCTGAACATATTTTTAAATTCACCTTGGCTGAAAATTGACTGTAAAAAGACTATATTTGAAGTACCATATCCAGAGGAGAGACAGAAACTTACTGATGCTTTTCATAAGATTGAAATTGTGTGCAAGATCTGCTATCTGCAAGCTGATAGAACTATGGAGAGATATATTGTGAAAATATGGACACAAGGAAACTGCAATAAAGGCCTATATAAAGGTGTGAAAATGAAATGGGGGGGAGCAAGATGGCGGAGAAACAGGAGACCTAATTTTGGTCTGGTCCCAGGAATTCAGCTAGATAGCTGCTATCAGACCATAACACCTACAAACGCAACAGGAGATCAAAGAAAAGAACAGCAGCAACTCTCTAAACAGAAAAGTGGCCACTTTCTGGAAGGTAGGACATGTGGAGTAGTGAATCTGAGGTGATATTTGGGAAGAGAGACCGCGGGAGGAGGGAACCTCCTCAGCTGGCTACCAGCAAGTGATAGAGCCAGGGAGCACAAAATTGGAACTTTTAGAAGTTGGCTCCACTGAGGGACGTAGCTCCAGTGGCTAAGCGGGGGGGTGAAACCCTCGCTGGGACAGTGTGGTCTCAGGACCCTTGTGGTCACAGAAAGATGGGGGCAGGGGTGCCTGAGTGCGGCAGAGCTCCCAGGTATCGGAGCGGGGAAACCGGCTGCAGAAATGGAGCCAAGGCGCAGGCTCTCAGCTGGGGTTTGCTATAAACCGTGATCTGCGGCACAGTTGGGCCACTGCTCCTCCAGCAGGGACCCAACAAGCAGCAGATCCAGGGAGACTCCTCTTCTTTCCCCGGGAGGAGTGGTGCAGAAGTGCACCGCAGGGATCTGCTGGGTTTGGAGACTCCAAACGGGGTCATGTGCCAGAGATAGAAATGCTCAGTCACAGGCCAGGTGAGCATGGAGTGTGGCCGGAGACTAGGGAGACAGGAGTGATTGACTGCTTTTCTCTGGGGGTGCACTGAGGAGTGGGGCCCGAGATCTTGGCTCCTTCTGGGCAGAGATTGGGAGGCCGCCATTTTCACTTTCCTCCTCCAAAGCTATAGGGAAAGCTTGCAGGGAACAAAAGCTACCGAGAGCAAACCCAAGCAGATTACTTAGCCGGCCCCTGACAAGGACGGGGCAATTCCACCTCTGGCAAAGACATTTGAGAACCACTGCAAGAGGCCCCTCCCCCAGAAGATCAGAAAGAACAGCCAAGACCAAGTTTACCGATCAATGAGAATTGCAAAATTCCAGTGTAAGGGGAATACAGCACATAGAATTCATGGCTTTTTTCCCATGATTAACTTTCAAAGTTAATTTTTTAAATTTTATTTTTTTCTATTTTTTAAAAATTTTTCTTCTTTCCTTTTTCAACCAACATATTATTTTATCAATGCTTTTTTAAAATCTTTTTTAATTTTCACTTTTACAGTCATATTCTATCCCTTCATTGTATTTAACCTTATTTTTTGTATATATATAAGTTTTTCTTTCTTTAAAATTTTGGGATACAGTTTCTTCTAACAGACCAAAATATACAATCTAGTGTATGGCTTTGTTCTAGTATCCTACCTGATCACATTCTTCTTTTTTTTTTTTTAATTTTTCTTCTTTCTTTTTTCAACCAACTTCTTATCAATTCCTTTTTAAAAATCTTTTAATTTTCATCTTTATAGTCATATTCCATCCCTTCATCGTATTTACCCTTATTTTTTTGTATTATATATATGTGTATATAAATATATATATATATATATGTTTTTCTTTCTTTAAAATTTGGCAGGCAGTTTCTTCTAACAGACCAAAATACACCCAAAATCTAGTGTGTGGCCCTGTTTTATTCACCAGCCTGATCAGATTCTTTTTTTTTTTTTCCCCTTTCTTATCCCCCCAGTTCTGGGTCCCTTCTGATTTCCTTAGTGTATATTTTTCTGGGGTCATTGTTACCCTTTTAGCATTTTGTTCTCTCATTCCTCTATTCTTCTCGGGACAAAAGGACAAAATGGAAAAACTCACCTCAAAAAAAAGAAAAAGAGGCAGTACCAACTGCCAGGGACCTAATCAATATGGACATAAGCAAGATGACAGAACCAGAGTTCAGAATGACAATTTTAAAGATACTAGCTGGGCTTGAAAAAAGCATAGAAGATACTAGTGAATCCCTTTCTGGAAAAATAAAGAACTAAAATCTAACCAAGTTGAAATAAAAAAGGCTATTGATGAGGTGCAATCAAAAATGTCCACTATCACCACTGCTATTCAACATAGTACTAGAAGTCCTAGCTTCAGCAATCAGACAACAAAAAGAAATAAAAGGCATCCAAATCAGCAAAGAAGAAGTCAAACTCACTCTTTGCAGATGATATGATACTTTATGTGGAAAACCCAAAAGACTCCAGCCCAAAACTGCTAGAACTCATATAGAAATTCAGTAAAGTGGCAGGATATAAAATCAATGCACAGAAATCAGTGGCATTTCTATACTCCAACAACAAGACAGAAGAAAGAGAAATTAAGGAGTTGATCCCATTTACAATTGCACCCAAAACCATAACACACCTAGGAATAAATCTAACCAAAGAGGCAAAGAATCTGTACTCAGAAAACTATGAAATACTCATTAAAGAAATTGAGGAAGACACAAAGAAATGGAAAAACGTTCCATGCTCATGGATTGGAAGGACAAATATTGTGAAGATGTCAATTCTACCTAGAGCAATCTACACATTCAAAGCAATCCCCATCAAAATACCATCCACTTTTTTCAAAGAAATGGAACAAATAATCCTAAAATTTGTATGGA